AATTATTCTTCTTGGTTAGACCAAAAATCAAACCGTATGGCACAAGAAGAAAAAGTAGCATCTAAACGTAGAAAAACTTTAGAGCGTGAGTTGGACTGGGTTCGTCAGGGAGCAAAAGGTCGTCAAACCAAACAAAAAGCGCGTTTGCAGAATTACGATAAATTATTGAATGAAGACCAAAAACAATTGGATGAAAACCTGGAAATCTACATCCCGAATGGTCCACGTTTAGGTACAAATGTTATCGAAGCTAAAAATGTTGCCAAGGCTTTTGGTGATAAATTACTATATGATAATTTAAACTTTACTTTGCCACAAGCGGGTATTGTTGGAATCATTGGACCAAACGGTGCTGGTAAATCTACCATTTTCAAAATGATTATGGGTGAGGAAAAAACAGATAGCGGAGAATTTTCAGTTGGCGAAACCGTGAAAATTGCTTACGTAGATCAGTCGCACTCTAACATTGATCCGAATAAATCTATTTGGGAGAATTTTGCTGACGGTCAGGAATTAGTAATGATGGGTGGAAAGCAAGTGAACTCAAGAGCATACTTATCTCGTTTCAACTTTGGTGGAGGTGAGCAAAATAAAAAAGTATCAATGTTATCTGGTGGAGAGCGTAACCGTTTACACTTAGCAATGACTTTGAAAGAAGAAGGAAACGTACTTTTACTGGATGAGCCTACGAATGATTTAGATGTAAATACGCTTCGTGCCCTTGAAGAAGGTTTGGAAAATTTTGCCGGTTGTGCTGTAATTATTTCGCACGACAGATGGTTCTTAGACAGAATTTGTACACACATTCTGGCTTTCGAAGGAGATTCTGAAGTGTATTATTTCGAAGGAGGTTTCTCTGAATACGAAGAAAATAAAAAGAAACGTTTAGGCGGTGATTTAACTCCAAAACGTTTGAAATACAGAAAGTTGATTAGATAATAATCTGAGTAATTTTCATCCCGAAGCCTCGGGATAAAATCCTAAATTCCAATTATTGTGAATTTAGGATTTTTTTATTTAAGACAAAGTTGTATCATTTCGAAATCTATTATAAAAACAAATCTTTTTTTTAGTAGCTAATCCCGCTATTCGTTCCGATCTTTTATGGCTCCCGATAGCTATCGGGACTGCCACAAAAAGATTTCCAATCCTATCGGGGCTCAGGGCAATTATTTCCATAATAATGTTTTTGTGTAGTTTGTCATTTAGAGGTACGAAAAATCTTCGTGACTAAATTCCGCAAAGATGGAAATACTTTATAGAGTTTCTTGTGAAGATCTCTCGTTCCTTGAAATGACAATATTGCGCAAAAGTTGGAATTTGGAATTTTGAAAAATTGAAATTTAAATAAATTTCGCCTTCAACTCCGGAGTAGGAATCATGCAGCTTTCTTTTTTGCCATACCACTTGTAGCGATTTTTAGCAACATAGTCATAAATGTAATTTCTAAACTTTTCAGGGAAGATTTTAAAAATACCAGTGAGGCCATAAATTCCACCCAAATCTTCTACAATTTCAAGAACCGCCGAAGATTTATAATAATAAGCTACACTTGGATGATATAAAATAATGCTGTCAATTTTAGTTCGGTCTACACCAATATAATTACAAATTTCAATTCCCAATTCTGATTGCAACGCGACAAATCTAAAGATATCTTTTTTATCATGTTTGATAATAAACTGAACTGTGCCATTGCATAAATTGCATACACCGTCAAAGAGAATTATTTTTTTGTCCTGTGGAAGATTGTCCTGCATTTGGAAAAGTTTCAAGTTAAAGGTTTTAAGTTCTTATGCTTTTTCAAAGTTTAAAACTTTGAAAAAGCTAACATCTAGTTTGTCATTTCGCGGAACGAGAAATCACACTAGGTGATCGACAAAGATTGGCGACTTACTTTACGGAGTTACGTGTGTGATTTCTCGGTCCTCGAAATGACAAAAAAATGACTATCAATTTTTATTATTAAAAATTGGTAATCCATAATTTTTATAAATTAAAAACCTCTTTCATAAATAAATTTTAAGCAATTTTTAAAAATAATCCATCTTCTTAATAGTCTTTCTGAAAATCTTTGCTAAAATCGCTTTATTTTAATTTTCGATAAAATTTAAGTCTTTTTATAGCTGAAAACCGTAACTGAGACAGAAAACTTACTTCTTTGCAGCTTCAACTAATTCCAATTCGTCCAGACTTACTTTTGAAGTAAAGATTCCGTAATTTACTGTTGCTTTGTTTTTTTCTATTGAGTCGATGCTCCCAACAGATCTTCCGTCGAGCATTCTTACTCTGTCGCCAACTTTTAAAATTGGTTTTGGTTTTTCAATAACCGGTTTAAGTTTCTTTTCTTTTTTCTCCTTTCGGATTTCTTCAACCTGAACAGAAACTTCTGCGATAACTTCTTTTTTCTTTTCGATTATAGCCTTGGCTTCTTTTGGAGTTGCTTTTTTACGTTTTGAATTTTCAATTTCTATGATTTTTAAAAATTCTCCAATAAGTTCTTTTTTATTTTTATTGTTGAAATATTTCTCCGAGATGTCTTCAATTTTCTGACCAATGTAAATTGTCTTTTGGTTGCTATCATATAATTCCTGATAACTTTCCAGTTTCTGTTTGATTTTTACATTGATGTTCTCCATCTTTTTACTCTCCTCGCGCGCTCGGGTTTCTTCTTCTTTCAAATTGATAGAAGTTTTTTCCAATTTCGAACGTTCTTTCTGAAGAGTTGCAATGGTTTTGTCAAAACGAACTTTCCCAACTTCGATTTTCTTTTTAGCACGATTGATCAATCCAAATGGGATCCCGTTTTTCAACGCAACTTCAAAAGTAAAGGAACTACCGGCCTGACCTAGAGCCAATTTGTACATTGGTTCCAATGATTTTTCATCAAACATCATATTCGCATTTGTTGCATACGGTAATTCGTTCGCCAAAATTTTCAAATTCGAATAGTGCGTTGTAATGATTCCGAAAGCTTCACGATGGTAAAATTCTTCCAGGAAAATTTCCGCCAAAGCACCACCTAATTCAGGATCTGAACCTGTACCAAATTCATCAATTAAAAACATGGTTTTCTTATTACATTTCTTTAAAAAGTAATTCATGTTTTTTAATCGGTAACTATAAGTACTTAAATGATTTTCAATAGATTGATTGTCTCCAATGTCTGTTAAAATTCTATCAAACAAAAAGGTCTCGCTTCGTTCGTGAACCGGAATTAGCATTCCTGATTGCAGCATCAATTGCAATAAACCAACCGTTTTAAGCGAAATTGTTTTACCTCCGGCATTTGGACCAGAGATTACAATAATACGATTATCTTGTTTTAGTTCAATAGTTTGCGGATGCGTAACTTCGTTCTTTTGCTTGTTGTTCAAATACAAAATCGGGTGATACGCTTCTCTAAAAAATAATCTTCTTTCTTCGGTAATTGTCGGCAAAATTCCGTTTATTCTGTTAGCATATTTTGCTTTTCCTGCAACTACATCAATATCACTTAGAAATTCCTGATATTCAATAAGTATAGGCAAGAATGGTCGAATGGCATTCGATAATTGTTTTAAAATTCTCGTGATTTCTTCCTTTTCTTCATATTCAAGATTTGCTAGTTCTCTTGAATATTGCAGAGTAGCTTCTGGTTCGATATAAGCAATACTCCCGGTTTTAGAACTTCCTAAAATAGAGCCTTTTACCTTACGGCGATACATTGCTAAAACCGCAAGCACTCTACGATTTTGTACAAAACTTTCTTTGATGTCATCTAAATAACCAAGACTATTATTATGAGAAAGTGCCATTCCAAAACTTTGGTTTACTTTACCACGAACGATATTCATATTCTGACGAATACTCAATAAAGCCGGTGAAGCATTGTCTTTGATTTCTCCGTATTTGTCTACAATAGCATCTATGAGAGTTACAATATCTTTCGTGTATTCAACTCTTGAAGCTCTTGCGTTTAAGTTTGGATAATAGTCATCAAATTTTTTGAGGAAATTCAGCAAGAAATTTGTTGTTGACGAAAGTGTCGCAATTTTTCTAAAACTTCCTACTTCAAGAAAGCTATCTTCAATTGCCAGAAATTTAATTTCGTGCGTTATGGCGTCAAACCCATGATTCGGAATGGCGTTGTTATTTTCAAAAGATGAAACATATTCAGATGTTTGCATTAAAGCCTGCATCAAAGTTTCTTTATCTCTAAATGGTGTTATTTTTAAAGCTTTTTCTTTTCCTATATCTGTATTACAGCCAGCCGAAATAGTTTCGAGCACTGTAGGGAATTGTAAATCTTGTAATGTTTTTTCGGTAATGGATATCATTTATTTTCTTTAACAAAGTACACACAAAAGTACGAAAACATTAGTATTCAATTCTACAAAGTTTATGTCTAAATTTATGATTGGTAAATATGATTTAAATAAAAAATCCTGAAATTCGCATAAAAAAAGATATGGACATAAAAATGCATGATTCCTGGAAACCGGTTTTGAATGAAGAATTTGAAAAACCATATTTCAATTCATTGATTGATTTTGTAAAATCTGAATATTCGACTAAGGTTTGTTATCCAAAAGGGAGTCAGATTTTTTCAGCTTTTGACCATTGTCATTTTGATCAGGTAAAAGTTGTGATAATCGGACAAGATCCCTATCACGGACCTAATCAGGCAAATGGATTATGTTTTTCTGTAAATGACGGGATTCCATTTCCGCCTTCTCTTCAAAATATTTTCAAGGAAATCGAAACTGATATAAATATACCAATTCCTAAAACAGGTAATTTAGAACGATGGGCAGATCAGGGTGTTTTTCTTTTAAACGCTACATTAACTGTTAGACAATCTGAGGCAGGAAGTCACCAGGGAAAAGGTTGGGAGAAATTTACAGATGCTGTAATTAAGCAAATTTCTGCTAATAGTAAAGATGTTGTTTTTTTATTATGGGGAGGTTTTGCCCAAAAGAAAGCCACACTAATTGATGCTTCGAAACATCATATTTTAAAATCAGGACATCCATCTCCTTTAAGCGCAAATAGAGGTTTTTGGTTTGGAAATAAACATTTTAGTCAGGCAAATACTTTTCTAAAGTCAAAAGGATTGAAAGAAATTGAATGGTAATGATAAGCCAAATGGAATATACAATAAAAAAGAAGCCAGTTATTTAACTGGCTTCTTTTTATTTTTTTATAATCTCGTCCAAGACTGCTTTATTTTCGTAGTTGATCACCTTTAGAATTACTTCCTGGTTTTTAACTGTTTTTCCTTCGATAATATACAGTTTTCCTTTTTTAAAAGGAACGTTGCTTTGATCAAAATCAACATCTCCAAATTTCAATGTATTTTTAATATCAGCTGTATCAATCCATTTTTCATTTAAGGTCTGAACTGCTTTTTCAGAATATTGAAAAGGTTTTGTGCGTAAATTATTTAAAACTCTGGCATTAGGAAAGTAGTTGCAACGGGTATCTTTTCCGCTAAAAACAAGGGCTACAAAAAAGCATCCCATAACTAAACCAATAAGATAATATGCAAAACGGTGTACGAACTTCATGAAATAATTTTTTTGCAAAGGTACATTAAAGTTCCCTTAAAATACAAGTAAATTAATGTCGTTATCCGGTAAATCGAACCACTCTCCAATTGCTTTGTTGGTTAAAATTCCGTGATACAGATAAATTCCGTTTTTTAAACCTTTATTGCATCGTATGGCACTTTCTAAACCTCCGTCTTCAGCTATTTGAAGCAAATAAGGAGTCAATATATTACTTATTGATAACGATGCAGTTTTGGAGTATCTTGAAGGGATATTAGGAACACAATAATGCAGAACATTACTTTTTATAAAAGTCGGTTTCTCATGGGTTGTAACTTCTGAGGTTTCAAAGCATCCGCCGGTGTCGATACTTACATCAACAATTACAGCACCTTTTTTCATGTGCTCTACCATCGTTTCTGTCACTATAATCGGACAACGTTCCTTTCCGCGCATGGCGCCAATAGCAACATCGCAACGTCTTAATGCTTTCAACAATGCTTTTTGCTGCACAGTAGAAGTAAAGATTCTTTGATTTAAGTTGTTTTGCAAACGACGTAATTTTGTAATCGAATTATCAAAAACTTTTACATTTGCGCCCAAACCAATGGCGGTTTTAGCGGCAAATTCTCCAACTGTTCCGGCACCTAAGATTACAACTTCGGTAGGAGGGACACCGGTAATGTTTCCAAATAAAAGTCCTTTCCCAAATTCGTTTGTAATCATCAATTCGGCAGCAATAAGTACAGAAGCTGTTCCGGCAATTTCGCTTAATGATTTAACAGCAGGATAAGAACCGTCCTCATCTTTAATATACTCAAAGGCAAGTGCAGTAATCTTTTTTTGCGCCAAGGCTTCGAAATATTCTTTCTTTTTGGTTTTTAACTGAATAGCCGAAATAATAATCGTTTCAGGATTAATCATTTTAATTTCTGCTATAGTAGGTGGTTCTACTTTTAGCAGCATTGGGCATCCAAAAACTTTTTTAGTATCTTTTGTTACTTCAGCTCCTGCATCAGAGTATTCCTTGTCAGAGTAGCTTGAACTTTCTCCGGCTCCGGATTCAATCATAACGCGATGACCTTCATAAGTCAGGGAGTTGACAGCATCTGGAGTTAAGCAAATACGACGTTCCTGATAACTTGTTTCTTTGGGAATCCCTATAAAAAGTTCTCTCTTGAATCGGCCCACTTCAAGTTTTTCTTCTTGTGGCAACAATTGTTGTTTCGTAAATGGAGTTAAGGTGATTGACATGGGTTGTGCGAAAAATTAAGAGTACAAATTACGTAAAAAGTTTTAAAATCAGTGTAAAAATTATGCTAATACTACGTCATGAAATTAAGGTATAATTTTTTCCATTTTAATGTTGGCTCTTTCATAGCTAACATTTCCTAAGGGAACTTCGACAAAACCGAATTTTTCATACAAATGAATTGCAGGAAGTAATTTTCGGTTCGAATACAAAATGAGCTTCCTGATGTTATTTTCTTCGGCTACAGCCAAACAATGAATTAGTAACTGATTTCCAATTCCGAGACCTTGCGCTTTATCTGAAACGGCCATTTTACTGAGTTCAAAAGTGTCGTAATCGATTTTCATTAAAGAAACTGTTCCAATAATTTCACCTTTATATTTAGCATAAAAAATCAATCCGCCTTTATCAATAATTTCCTCCTGTGGATTAGAAAGTACTATTTCGTCTTTTTCCTCAACTTTAAAATATTTTTGAAGCCATTCTTTATTTAAAGTTTTGATTGGTTCTTTTAAATCTGATGAGAAAGGGATTATTTCTACTATATTTCGTTTGCCCATTATGTTTTAATAGAAGTTTTTTCACAAAGTATCACGAAGTTGTAAAAATGATTTTGTGTTTCTCTGTGAGATCTTAGTGAATCTTTGTGGAATATTTTAAACCAATTTTAATTCTCTTTTTCCATCTGCCAATAACTCAATTGTCACAACAGAATGTTCCTCAGGAAGTAAACTGGCAATTTTTTCAGACCATTCTATAAAACACCAGTTTCCTGAATATAGATAATCATCAACGCCCATATCAAGAGCTTCAGTTTCTTTATTTAATCTGTAAAAATCAAAATGATACACAATGTGATTGTTAGAAGTGTAATATTCATTTACTAAAGAAAAAGTCGGACTGCTAGTTGCATCTTCAACTCCAAGACTTTTACATAGTTGTTTGATTAGAGTAGTTTTTCCAACACCCATTTCTCCATTAAAGAGAATAATCTTCTTTGGATTTTGTGCTAAAATTTGCTCTGCTACTTCTTGAATTTGATCTAATGAAAAAACGATGTCCATTTTTATTACTTATTAATTATAGTCTCAGTCACAGTTTTCAGTCTTAGTTGGAAACTGTAAACTGCGTTTTTTTTTTTTTTGCCACAGATTAAAAGATTTTATTGATTTTTCTAATCTGTGTGAATCTGTGGTAATTTCTTTTTACTGTAAACTGCGACTGAAAACTTTTCTATTTCGGGTTAAATACCAAAAAAGGAATAATCATTTCTTCTAATGAAATTCCGCCGTGTTGATACGTATTTCTGTAATAACTCACATAATGATTGTAGTTGTTTACATAAGCTAAAAAGAAATCATTTTTAGCAAAAATAAATGAACTACTCATGTTTATAGCCGGTAAACCAATGTCTTTAGGTTCTTTTACAACATAAACATCTTTATGTTCGTATGTTAAACTACGTCCGGTTTTGTAGCGCAAATTTAAACTTGTATTTTTATCTCCAACTACTTTTGATGGGTTTTTTACATTAATTGTTCCGTGATCTGTAGTCAGGATCAATTTGAAACCCAAAAGTTGTGCTTGCTGAATAATTTCTAAAAGTGGAGAGTTTTTAAACCAGCTTAAAGTCAGTGAGCGATATGCTTTATCATCAGAAGCAAGTTCTTTTACAACGTCCATTTCGGTTTTTGCGTGCGATAACATATCGACAAAATTGTAAACAACCGTCACTAAATCATTGCCTTTTAAAGCTTTGAAGTTTTCTGCCAGTTTTTTTCCGCCTGCGTAATTGGTGATTTTAAAATAATCTTCTTTGATGTTTAATCCTAAACGTTTTAATTGCGCCGAAAGAAATTCAGCTTCATAAAGGTTTTTTCCGCCGTCTTCAACATCATTTTTCCAGTATTGCGGGAACTGTTTCTCCATTTCTGTAGGCAATAAACCTGAGAAAATAGCATTTCTGGCATATTGCGTTGCCGTAGGAAGGATAGAGAAATAAGGAACTTCTTTTTCTAATTTGTAATAATTTGCCACAACGGTTTCAAAAGATTTCCATTGGTCGTAACGTAAATTATCAATTACAACCAACAAAATTGGTTTGTCTTTCTTTTTAATTTCAGGAACTACTAATTCCTTAAATAAATTGTGGGACTGAATTGGTTTATCTGCTTTTGGAGCAAACCAGTCTTCATAATTTCTTTCGATATATTTTCCGAATTGCGAATTGGCTTCAACTTTTTGGGATTCAAGGATTTCAATCATCGCCTGGTCGTTGATGTTTTCCAATTCAAGTTCCCAGAAAATTAACTTTTTATACAATTCCACCCAGTCTTCATACGAATTAACCATCGCCATTTCCATCGAAATTTTCCTGAATTCTTTTTGATAATCTAGAGTTGTTTTTTCAGAAATTAACCTCGAATGATCCAGATTTTTCTTTAAACTCAGTAAAATCTGATTCGGATTTACCGGTTTTATCAAATAATCAGCGATTTTAGAACCAATGGCTTCTTCCATTATATACTCTTCTTCGCTTTTTGTAATCATAATCATCGGGATAGCCGATTTTTTTTCTTTCATTTCAGAAAGTGTTTCCAGGCCACTCATTCCCGGCATATTTTCATCAAGAAAAACAATGTCAAAATTATCTTCTTCAAATAAGGCGATAGCGTCTAAACCATTGTTACAAGTGGTTACAGCATAGTTTTTTTTCTCCAGAAATAATATATGTGGTTTCAAAAGATCGATTTCATCATCAACCCAAAGTATTTTTATCTTATCCATAAACGTATTTAATTTTAATGCAATTTAGAGGTATAGAACTTAAAAAGTATTAAAAATAGTATAAATTTCAGAATAACAAATAGTGATTTTTACATTAAAACTTTTTTTGAATTTAGTATTGCATTGAAAATCACGACAATTTAATGTCAATTTTTAAATGAAAAACACAAAGCTGTTTATAGTTAATTACTTATATTTGTTGACCTAAAAATAACCAAATAGTGACTCATATCAATAAGTTAAAAATATTCAATGATCCCATCTACGGGTTTATTTCCATCCCGAACGAACTTATTTACGACTTAATTCAGCATCCGTATTTTCAGCGTTTACGCCGTATTTCGCAAATGGGAATGTCGTATTTGGTTTATCCCGGAGCCAATCACACGCGTTTTCATCATGCCTTAGGCTGTATGCATTTAATGCAGAAGGCTGTAGAAACACTTCGTTTTAAAGGAGTTGCGATTTCCAGTGATGAAGAATGTGCTTTACTAATAGCTATTTTACTGCACGATATTGGTCATGGTCCGTTTTCGCATGCTATGGAAAAAAGCATTGTCGAAGATGTGAATCATGAAGCGATTTCGTTATTATTCATGAATCAGTTGAATGATGAATTTGATGGAAAACTGAGTCTGGCGATCCAGGTTTTTAAAGGAGAATATCACAGGAAATTTATGCTACAATTGATTTCAAGTCAATTGGATATGGATCGAATGGATTATTTGAAACGAGATAGTTTTTACACCGGAGTTGCCGAAGGGAATGTCAATTCTGAGCGTTTAATTCAGATGATGAATGTTGTTGATGGTGTTTTGGTAATTGAAGAAAAAGGAATTTACTCGGTAGAGAAATTTTTGCTTTCGAGAAGATTAATGTACTGGCAGGCTTACTTGCATAAAACAAGTTTGGTTGCAGAGCTAATTTTGATGAATGTGCTAAAAAGAGCCAAAGAATTAACATTAAAAGGAATTAATTTACCTTGCAGTGAGCCTCTTTTGTATTTTATGCAAAATAAAGTGACTTTAGAAGATTTTGATGCTGATAAATTAGATTTATTTTCTCAACTAGATGATTTTGATATCATTAGCGCTTTGAAAGCATGGCAAAAGCAAGAAGATTTCGTGCTTTCTACTTTAAGTAAAATGTTGATTAATAGAGATTTATTGAAAATTAAATTGAGTGCTGAGAAAATTTCGGCAGAAGAATCCCAATCTTTAAAAGAAGAATTTGCTAACGCGCACCATATTACGCAGTTAGAAGCTGGATATTTTATTTTTAGAGGAAAATAAAAAATCAGGCCTATAGCAAAGAAGCTGAACCAATACGAATTTTCAAAAAAGATAAAACAATTGAGGATGTTGTCGAAGCTTCTGATCAGCTGAATTTGAAATCGTTATCTAAATTAGTTACAAAATATTACATCTGTTTTCCAAAACAACTTATCTAAAATTAACATTTAAAATCTATTTTTTATATTTTTGTCGCAATGAAATTTACAGCAGAACAAATAGCAGGAATTTTAGAAGGAGAAGTTGTTGGGAATCCCAATGCAGAAGTTTCTCGGCTGTCTAAAATAGAAGAAGGCGAGGAAGGATCACTTACTTTTTTGGCTAATCCCAAATATATCAATTACATATATACTACAAAAGCATCAGTTACTATTGTTAATGATAGTTTTGTACCAGATGCAGAAATCACTACAACTTTGATTAAGGTAGAAGATGCGTATGCCTCTTTTTCTAAGCTTTTACAATTTTATAATCAGGTAAAATTGAATAAAAACGGAATAGAAGCGCAATCTTTTATGTCTGAAGGAACTAAACATGGAGAAAATTTATATCTGGGAAGCTTTAGTTATATAGGGCAAAATGTAGTTCTGGGAGATAATGTAAAAATTTATCCAAACAGTTTTATTGGCGATAATGTTGTTATTGGCGATAATGTGTATATTTTTGCAGGCGCCAAAATTTATTCTGAAACTTTAATTGGTAACAATTGTACGATTCATTCAGGAGCTATTATTGGTGCGGATGGTTTTGGTTTTGTACCAAATGAAGAAGGGGTGTATAGTAAGGTTCCTCAAATAGGAAACGTTATCATTGAAGATAATGTAGATATAGGAGCCAATACCACAATAGACAGAGCGACTCTTGGTTCTACAATAATTAGACAAGGAGTTAAATTAGACAATCAAATTCAGATTGCCCATAATGTAGAAATTGGCAGAAATACTGTAATTGCTGGCCAAACAGGCGTGGCAGGTTCTACAAAAATAGGAGAAAACTGTATGATTGGCGGGCAAGTAGGTATCGCAGGCCACTTAATTATAGGTAATAATGTAAGATTGCAGGCTCAGTCAGGAGTAGCAAGAAATATTAAAGATGATGAAACATTGCAGGGATCGCCATCGCTTGGATATAGTGATTTTAATAAATCATATGTTCATTTCAGAAATCTGCCTAAAATTGTTGCCGAAGTTGAAGAATTAAAAAAACAAATAATAAACCCAAAAAATGGAAATAATGGTTAAACAGAAGACCATCAAAAATGAAATTTCACTAACAGGCGTTGGATTACACACTGGAAAAGAAGTTACAATGACTTTTAAACCAGCTCCAATTAATAATGGTTTCACTTTTGTTAGAGTAGATTTGCAAGGTCAGCCCGTGATCGAAGCAGATGCTAACTATGTTGTTAATACGCAAAGAGGCACAAATTTAGAAAAACTTGGTGTAAAAATTCAAACTCCTGAACACGTTTTAGCGGCTTTAGTTGGTTGTGATCTGGATAACGTTATTATAGAATTAAATGCCTCTGAACTTCCTATTATGGATGGTTCATCGAAATATTTTGTTGAAGCGATTGAAAATGCAGGTATAGAAGAACAAGATGCTAGACGTAATGTTTATGTAGTAAAGGAAGTTATTTCGTTTACTGATGAAACTACGGGAAGCGAGATCTTAGTGATGCCAAGTGATGATTATCAGGTAACTGCAATGGTTGATTTTGGTACTAAAGTTTTAGGTACTCAAAATGCAACAATGAAAAGCATAGCCGATTTTAAAGAAGAAATCGCTAATTCAAGAACTTTTAGTTTCTTGCACGAATTAGAATCTCTTTTAGAAAACGGATTAATCAAAGGTGGAGATTTAAATAATGCTATTGTTTATGTAGATAAGGAAATATCGGAGTCTACAATGGAAAATTTAAAGAAAGCCTTTGGCAAAGACAAAATTTCGGTTAAGCCAAATGGTGTTTTAGATAATTTAACATTACATTATCCAAACGAAGCTGCAAGACACAAATTACTTGATGTTGTTGGAGATTTATCTTTGATTGGAGTTAGAATTCAGGGAAAAATTATTGCTAATAAACCAGGACACTATGTAAATACACAGTTTGCCAAAAAATTAGCAAAAATTATAAAAATAGAACAAAGAAATCATGTTCCGGTTTACGATTTAAATCTGGAGCCATTGATGGATATTCATAAAATTATGGCAGTTTTGCCACACAGACCTCCATTTTTATTAATCGATAGAATTATAGAAATGTCTGACAGTCATGTTGTGGGTATGAAAAATGTAACGATGAACGAAAATTTCTTTGTAGGGCATTTTCCTGAAGCTCCGGTTATGCCAGGTGTTTTAATTGTTGAAGCAATGGCGCAAACAGGTGGAATTTTAGTGTTAAGCACGGTTCCGGATCCTGAAAATTATTTAACTTATTTTATGAAAATAGATAATGTTAAATTCAAACATAAAGTATTGCCTGGTGATACCTTAATTTTCAAATGCGAGTTAATTTCTCCTATCAGAAGAGGAATTTGTCATATGCAGGCAAATGCTTACGCAAATGGAAAGTTGGTAACAGAGGCAGAATTAATGGCTCAAATTGCAAGAAAACAATAATAGTTTAATCAAATTTATTGTTTACGTTTGTTGCCCAAATTAGACTATTTTAATATAAAATATAAAACTCACAGATGAATCAACCATTAGCATATGTTCATCCTGGCGCGAAAATCGCTAAAAATGTTGTAATTGAGCCTTTTACAACAATTCACAATAATGTCATTATTGGTGATGGTACGTGGATTGGTTCAAATGTAACCATCATGGAAGGTGCAAGAATTGGAAAAAATTGTAATATTTTTCCAGGAGCAGTAATTTCTGCAGTGCCGCAAGATTTAAAATTTGGAGGAGAAGATTCTTTAGCTATTATAGGAGATAATTGTACTATTAGAGAGTGTGTAACAATCAATAGAGGTACAGTTGCTTCAGGACAAACAATTTTAGGTAATAACTGTTTGGTTATGGCTTATGCTCACATTGCGCACGATTGCGAGATTGGTAATAATGCTATTATTGTAAACGGTGTTGCTTTGGCAGGTCACGTTGTGGTTGGTAATCATGCTGTAATTGGCGGTTTGGCAGCTATTCACCAATTTATTCATATTGGAGATCATGCTATGATTTCTGGTGGATCATTGGTAAGAAAAGACGTTCCTCCTTATACAAAAGCAGCAAAAGAGCCATTGTCGTACGTAGGAATCAATTCAGTTGGTTTAAGAAGAAGAGGTTTTACTACTGAGAAAATCAGAGAAATTCAGGAAATTTACAGAATTTTATACCAAAAAAATTACAATACAACACAAGCTTTAAGTATTATTGAAGCTGAAATGGAAGCCACTCCTGAGAGAGATGAAATTCTGGATTTTATCAGAAATTCATCAAGAGGAATTATGAAAGGTTATTCAGGAAACTATTAATAGAAAAATTAATTGTTTATTTGTTTAATCGTTTAATCGAAACAAATAAACGGTTAAACGATTGAACAATATATCAAATAAAACAAAAACAAATGGCATCTACATCAGATATTAGAAACGGATTGTGTATTAAATTTAATCACGATATCTATAAAATAGTGGAGTTTCTTCACGTAAAGCCCGGAAAAGGTCCGGCTTTCGTAAGAACAAAATTGAGAAGTTTAACTACAGGAAGAGTGTTAGATAATACATTTTCTGCTGGACATAAAATTGATGATGTGCGTGTAGAAACGCATAATTACCAGTTTTTATATGCTGAAGGAGATGAGTTTCATTTTATGAACACAGAATCTTTTGAGCAAATTTCTTTGAATAAAAATATTCTGGATGCTCCGGGATTATTAAAAGAAGGAACAAGCGTAATGGTTCAGGTGAATACTGAAACTGATTTGCCATTATCTGTAGATATGCCATCTTCTGTAATTCTTGAAGTTACATATGCTGAGCCAGGTGTAAAAGGAAATACTGCTACAAATGCTACAAAATCTGCTACGGTAGAAACAGGAGCAACTGTAAACGTTCCTTTATTCATCAACGAAGGTGATAAAATTAAAATTGATACCGCTTCTGGTAATTACATGGAACGTGTAAAAGAGTAGTTTTTTAATTAGATAATTTGTCAATGAGTCAATTAGAAAATTAGTGAATCATCACAATTTTGAGCATTCATTTTCTGATTGACACATTTCTGATTGACACATTTTCTAATTGACAAATTTTCTAATTATAAAATATGAAATTTCCAAAGATTCATTCTTTACAAGAAATTGCAAATTTGCTTCAATGCGAATTTATTGGCGACCCAAACTTTCCGGTTTCAGGCATGAACGAAATACATGTTGTTGAATCTGGAGATATAGTTTTTGTCGATCATCCAAAATACTATGACAAAGCTTTACAATCGGCTGCTACTATTGTTTTAATCAATAAAAAAGTAGATTGCCCGGAAGGTAAAGCTCTTTTAATTTCTGACGATCCTTTCAGAGATTTTAATACCCTGACCAAACATTTTAGGCCTTTTCAGGCAACTAGCGTTTCTATTGCTCTTTCTGCAACTATTGGAGAAGGAACTGTGATTCAGCCCAATTGTTTTGTTGGAAACAATGTTACAATCGGTAAAAACTGTTTGATACATCCTAATGTTACGATTTACGACCATACTGTAATTGGCGATAATGTTATCATTCATGCGGGGACAATTTTAGGGGCAGATGCATTCTATTATAAAAAGCGTCCGGATGGTTTCGATCAGTTAATTTCTGGCGGAAGAGTTGTCATACAGGACAATGTTGGTATTGGTGCCCTTTGTACAATAGACAAGGGTGTTACAGGAGATACTACTATTGGAGAAGGAACAAAACTAGATAACCAGGTACATGTTGGGCATGATACTGTAATTGGTAAAAAATGCTTAATAGCGTCGCAAACTGGTATTGCAGGTTGTGTTATTATCGAAGATGAAGTTACTATTTGGGGACAGGTTGGTACGACAAGCGGTATCACGATAGGAGCGAAGGCTGTTATTATGGGACAAACCGGAGTTACTAAATCAGTCGAAGGGGGAAAATCGTATTTTGGTACTCCAATCGAAGAATCAAGAGAAAAGTTAAAACAATTAGCCAATATCAAAAAGATTCCTGAAATTTTAAATAAATTGAAGTAATATGTCTATTAAAGAATTTGTTCAGAAATTTTACAAGTCAGATGCCTTAATTGATAGCGAAATAATGAAAACTTATTTGCATCCCGAGGTAAAATTAGATTGGCATAGTACCAAAGGATTGATCGAAATGGATTATAATTCGATGTTGGATATGGCCAATGAGCTTAGTCGTGCTTACGTGCGATCAAAAGTAAGAATAAGCCACATTTTGGCCGAAGAGGACTTGGTTTCGATACGATATTCTCATTTTGTGAAAACGATTGAGAACCCAAGAGAAGAGATGTTATTGGCCCATTTCTCTACAATTTGGCAAATAAAAGACGATAAATTATATCGTGGTTATCAAATGAGTCAATTTTCTTAATTTTTTTGAAGACAAAAAGGTTAAAATACGTTACAAAACCTTACTTTTGCATCACAATTTTAAAAACTACATAAAATATATATCATGAGTGTTTTAGTTAATAAAGATTCCAAAATAATTGTTCAAGGATTTACAGGAAGTGAAGGAACTTTCCACGCTTCTCAAATGATTGAGTACGGTACTAATGTTGTTGGTGGTGTTACTCCGGGTAAAGGAGGAACTAGTCATTTAGATCGTCCGGTTTTTAATACAGTAAAAGATGCTGTTGATCAAGCTGGAGCTGATACATCTATCATTTTCGTACCACCAGCTTTTGCTGCTGATGCAATTATGGAAGCTGCTGACGCTGGAATTAAAGTAATTATTGCTATTACAGAAGGAATTCCTGTAGCAGATATGATTAAAGCAAATAATTATGTTAAAGAAAGAAATTCTAGATTAATCGGTCCAAACTGTCCGGGAGTAATTACTCCGGGTGAAGCTAAAGTTGGTATTATGCCAGGTTTCGTTTTCAAAAAAGGAACAGTTGGTATTGTTTCTAAATCAGGAACTTTAACTTACGAAGCTGCTGACCAGGTTGTAAAACAAGGTTTAGGAATTACTACAGCTATTGGTATTGGTGGAGATCCAATTATTGGAACTACAACTAAAGAAGCTGTTGAATTATTAATGAACGATCCAGAGACTGAACTTATCATCATGATTGGTGAAATTGGAGGTCAATTAGAAGCTGATGCTGCTAAATGGGTTAAAGCTGATGGTAACCGTAAACCAGTTGTTGGTTTTATCGCTGGAGAAACTGCTCCTGCTGGTAGAACAATGGGTCACGCAGGTGCTATTGTTGGTGGTTCTGATGATACAGCTGCTGCTAAAAAACAAATTATGAGAGACAACGGAATTCACGTTGTTGATTCACCAGCTGAAATTGGTAAAAAAGTAAAAGAAATATTAGGATAATCTCTAATATTTAAAATAATAAATTCCAAAAAAAGTCTCAATATTTTGTTGAGACTTTTTTACATTTTTAAAATGTTGGAACTATAAATAAAAACTTAGCAACTTAGATTCTCAAACTCTTAGTGGCTTAAAAAAAATAAATATGTACAAAGAATTAGAAAAATTTAAAGTAAGCAATAGTTTTACTTTTACTATTGAAGATAGTTTAGAACAAGCTTGTAATGCATCTGAAGGTGCGGGAGTTTTTGTTGTTTATGCTATTGAAGGTGATGCGAAAGAATTGATCATGGTAGGTTCTACAGGAACTGTTCAGAACGATGGAACTTTAAAAAGTAAAAATGGCGGTTTATACGATAAAATTGTAAACGGACACCAATTTGCTAAAACAGGAAGAAAATATTCATGGCCGGCACAAATGAAACTTGAAAGTATTGACGCTTTAGAAGTGCTTTGGTACGAAACTTTTAATGCAGATGTAAAAGCAATTCCAACTGCTGTTGAAGGACAGGTTTTGCAAAATTTCTTAGATGAAAATGCAAAATTACCTAGATGGAATGTGGCTTTCTAAGTCGGTTTTATTATCAATATAATCAAAGTCTTACTAGTTGTAGTAAGACTTTTTTTTTGCTTAATTACTAATATTGTATTTAATTTTTATAAGTCAGGGATTAATTATTAGAATTCTAACTTATAGATCTGTACAGCGCGTTTTAAATGTGAAAACCGCTGAGCATTAGTTTTCTTTCTTCAAATGCCTAGTCTTTTACAGCATTTCGATTTTAAATCTTATGCTAATTCTTATCGAGGAAGATTTTATATAAAAGTGTGTAAATTAAGTTTTTTTTTAAATGTTAAAAATATAATAAAAAAAAATGGTGATTTAATCTTACAATAAAGATGTTTTTTGAATTATTATATTTTTTTTAATTCACGCTAATACCTCATTAAATCAGCAGATAGGGGCTTTTTCTTACGTTAAGAGTAAGGTTCTTTTATGTAAAAAAATTGCTTTTGTATTTTTGCTTTTATATATTTATCGCACAGAACTAGAGAATAATGTTAAAAAACCGTATTCTTTATGTTAAAACTAAGTGCTTATTTTCAAGAATTCTACCCCAAATTAATATGAAGACCAAAAATTTACAATTCAAAACTTTTGACGACATTACGCTTTGGAATAACTTGAAAGATGGTGATGAAAAATCATTCTCAACCCTATTTGAGAAATACTACGCAGATCTGGTTAATTACGGAAATTCACTTTCTCCTTACGCTGAAAAAGTACAGGATTGTGTTCAGGATGTTTTTACTGATATTTGGGTATATCGTAACGGACTTCAGAGTTCTGTTGTGGTAAAAGCTTACTTATTATCAAGTGTACGTAAGAGAATTGCACGTTTGCACGAACGGGATCATATTTTTCGTAAATCAACCAGTACAGATGCCATAGCATTTTTATTAGAATTCTCCGTAGAACACGATCTTATGGATGATGATTATGCAACTAAAGAAAAGGTTGTTTATCTTAATAAATTACTGAATGATTTGCCTGCGCGTCAAAAAGAAGCATTGTATTTACGTTACCATCAAGGCTTAACAGTGGAGCAAATTGCAGACATGCTGGATGTGAATTATCAGTCGGCAAGCAACTTGTTACATCGCGGTTTACTTACCTTGCGCAAAGAATGGAAGGGGAGTATTTCATTAATTGTTGTACTATCTTCAATGGCTTGTTAAATTTATTTTAAAAAAAATGTAAAAAAAAATCACAATTTGGTGAGTATATAATAAAAGAACTGTCCTCTATGTTTTTGTAACCTCATTTTTAGATGCAAAAACGTAATAAATATACCGAAATTGAAGATTTTTTATCTGACGAATCATTCCAGTCATGGATTTTAAATAAAATTGACGAATATGGTTGGGAAGAGTGGACCTTAGAAAGCCGCCAACGTGCCAAGTTGGTAGAAGATGCAAGATTGTTATTATTGGCTATGAAGGTGCCGGAAACTAACTTATCGGCATCTGATCTTCATAATGCTTTACAAACCACATGGATTAAAATTGAAGAGAAAGAAACTCACAACGATTTAATCCGGGACTCAAAAGTAAAATTTCTTAGAAAAAAAATCTTTAGCTCTGTTGCTGCTGCTGTAGTGATTGGTCTGATATCAATTTGGTTTTATCAAAATCAAATTAGTCCGGAAAGTAAAGTTGTAACCTACAAAGAACTTATCGAGGAAAATAACGAAGGCTTGGTTGAGCAGACCAATAATTCAAACAAACCACAAATCATCACATTATCTGATGGTAGTTCGGTTTTATTACAACCCAATAGTAAATTAAGTTATCCTAAAATCTTTACCGGCAACGAAAGAAAGGTGTATTTATCCGGCGAAGGTTTCTTTGAAATTAGTAAAAATCCTAAAAAGCCTTTTTTTGTTTATGCAAACGAAATTGTTACAAAGGTAGTTGGAACCAGTTTTAGAGTAAAAGCTTATTCTGATCAGCCTGATGTAGAAGTTCTTGTGCGCACCGGTAAAGTTAGGGTAAAATCGAATGATTTAGTTTCGAGATCCAATCAGGAAGAAGTGATATTGCTTCCTAATCAGGCGCTTCGTTTTTTACGCAGTGATTTAAGTTTCAATAAAATTACAAATATTACTCAGGACGAAACACTAACTCGCAGTGTTGGTAATATTGAGCAATTGAGCTTTGAATTTACTGATATTCCTGTTGCTCAGATTTTTGAAACAATAGAGCAGGCTTATCTGGTAGACATAGATTATCCTAAAGATAAGTTGAAAGACTGCCACTTGACTACTTCACTTAGTGATCAGCCTTTAACAGAAAAGCTTAAAATTGTCTGTAATAGCATAGGCAATAATACTAGTTTTCAAATGAATGGTAATCAAATCATTATAACATCTCAAGGATGTAATTAATTCTCTCTGTAACTGTAATTACATAGCCGAATTAAATCTAATAAATCAACAAAAAAACTAAACCAAAACTAAACTAGAACCAATAATAATAAAATGCCTATGTAAAAGATGATAATGCAGAAAAAAAGTGCCGAAATGCTGTAACATTATCGACACTTAAATTAGTTGAATTTCTCTCTGTAAAGAGTTATTCATTACGTTTCAAAATACACTCGAATAAGTATTAATCAAAACAATCCAAAATTATGAAAAAACCAGTTGTTAAACAACGATTACTCCATCGAATCATGAAAATAACACTATTTCAGTTTGTCTTGGCACTTGTATTTTCAAGTGTTGCCATGGCAAATAATGTAAATGGGCAAAAAAAACTAGATACCAAGGTTACTATCAATGTCGCTAATTTAACATTGGATAACGCCTTGACCAAGCTGGAAAAGTCTGCTCACGTAAAATTTTCTTATAACTCAAGATTGCCTCAGCTTACCCAAAAGGTAAGTATAGATGCTAATCAGGAAACTCTTTCGAGTATTCTAAACCGTATTCTGATACCTTTTAATATAAGTTATACTGAAGTAAGCAACCAAATTGTTTTGCAAAAAAATGCCGCATCAGATTCTTTTGCGAGTTTAGATGCCGGTAATTCTTTGTTTGAAATATTAACTGCAGGTCCAATCATCAAAGGTATAGTTACTGATGCAAGTGGTAGTCCACTTCCGGGAGCTACTGTGTTGGTAAAAGGAACAAAAAATGCAGTTCTTACTGATTTTGATGGTAGATTTACTATCGAAGTACCATCAAATAGCGACAAACTTGTAATTTCTTATGTTGGAATGGAGTCCAAAGAAATTGGTATTGGAAATACTACTCCTACAATTGTTTTAACTGAAGAAGGACAAAACTTAAAAGAGGTTGTAGTTACAACAGGTTACGAAAAAACATCAAAAAGAACATTTACAGGTGCTATTAGTAAAATTTCAGGTGCTGAATTAAAAGTTGACGGGGTAGTAGATGTAAGTAGGATGATTGAGGGGAAAGCTGCCGGGGTTACAGTTCAAAATGTTACGGGTACTTTTGGTACAGCTCCTAAGATCACTGTACGTGGATCTTCTTCTATTTTTGGAGATACAAAACCTTTATGGGTTATTGATGGTGTTGTTCAGGAGGATATTATCAATGTTTCATTTGCTGATTTAGCATCAGGAAATTCATCAACATTGTTAAGTTCTTCTGTAGCAGGTTTAAATGCTAATGACATTCAAAGTATAGAAATTCTTAAAGATGCATCTGCAACTTCTATTTATGGTTCTAGATCGTTAAACGGTGTTGTTGTTGTTACAACTAAGCAAGGCCGTAGAGATTCTCCGCTAAAAGTAAGTTATTCTGTAGAGAATACAGTGAGAACGGTACCGAGTTATACACAATATGATATCCTGAACTCTCAGGAATCTATGAGTGTGTTTCAGGAAATGAAACAAAAAGGATATCTTGATTTAAGTTCGTCTTATACAGGTAGATTTGGAGGAGCATACAATATTCTTGCAAAAGAAATTAACCGTTACAATGAAACAAATGGTCAATATGGGGTTAAAAACGAACAACCTTATATTAATCAATTTCTAAAAAAATACGAACTGGCTAATACAGATTGGTTTAATGTGTTATTTAGACCTTCAATTACTCAAAATCATTCTTTGAGTTTTTCTGGTGGTGGAAAAAATAATACTTTTTATGCCTCTTTAGGATATTACACAGATCCGGGATGGACGATTGCTGATAATGTAAAACAATTAACATCAAATATTAAAGGTACTTTCTTTATCAACGACAGATTAAACATTACCTTATCTACAATGGGGTCTATTCGCGATCAGGAAGCTCCCGGAGCATATGACAGTAAAAAAGACGTTGTTTTTGGAAAAACAAGCAGAGATTTTGATATCAATCCATTCAATTATGTTTTAAGCACTAGTAGAACGTTAAGACCTTATGATGATAATGGAAATTTAGAATATTATCAAAATAACTGGGCGCCAATGAATATTGTGAACGAAT